AACTGCAGCTATAAGGTTATGGTGTAAGGAGGTCCCCTGTCTCCCCGCACACAGTGTATAATAACTGCAGCTATAAGGTTATGGTGTAAGGAGGTCTCCTGTCTCCCCGCACACAGTGTATTATAACTGCAGCTATAAGGTTATGGTGTAAGGAGGTCCCTGTCTCCCCGCACACAGTGTATTATAACTGCAGCTATAATGTTATAGTGTAAGGAGGTCCCCTGTCTCCCCGCACACAGTGTATTATAACTGCAGCTATAAGGTTATGGTGTAAGGAGGTCCCCTGTCTTCCCGCACACAGTGTATTATAACTGCATCTATAAGGTTATGGTGTAAGGAGGTCCCCTGTCTCCCCGCACACAGTGTATTATAACTGCAGCTATAAGGTTATGGTGTAAGGAGATCCCCTGTCTCCCCGCACACAGCGTATTATCACTGCAGCTATAAGGTTAAGGTGTAAGGAGGTCCCCTGTCTCCCCGCACACAGCGTATTATAACTGCAGCTATAAGGTTATGGTGTAAGGAGGTCCCCTGTCTCCCCGCACACAGTGTATTATAACTGCAGCTATAAGGTTATGGTGTAAGGAGGTCCCCTGTCTCCCCGCACACAGTGTAGTATAACTGCAGCTATAAGGTTATGGTGTAAGGAGGTCCCCTGTCTCCCCGCACACAGTGTATTATAACTGCAGCTATAAGGTTATGGTGTAAAGAGGTCCCCTGTCTCCCAGCACACAGTGTATTATAACTGCAGCTATAAGGTTATGGTGTAAGGAGGTCCCCTGTCTCCCAGCACACAGTGTATTATAACTGCAGCTATAAGGTTATGGTGTAAGGAGGTCTCCTGTCTCCCAGCACACAGTGTATTATAACTGCAGCTATAAGGTTATGGTGTAAGGAGGTCTCCTGTCTCCCCACACACTGTGTATTATAACTGCAGCTATAAGGTTATGGTGTGAGGAGGTCCCCTGTCTCTCCTCACACAGTGTATTATAACTGCAGCTATAAGGTTATGGTGTAAGGAGGTCCCCTGTCTCCCCGCACACAGTGTATTATAACTGCAGCTATAAGGTTATGGTGTAAGGAGGTCCCCTGTCTCCCTGCACACAGTGTATTATAACTGCAGCTATAAGGTTATGGTGTAAGGAGGTCCCCTGTCTCCCCGCACACAGTGTATTATAACTGCAGCTATAAGGTTATGGTGTAAGGAGGTCCCCTGTCTCCCCGCACACAGCGTATTATCACTGCAACTATAAGGTTATGGTGTAAGGAGGTCCCCTATCTCCCTACACACAGTGTATTATAACTGCAGCTATCACATCTGATGGATGGAAATGCTGATGGTGAAGTTCTCTGCTCCCCTTGGATTCACCCAGCACCATAATTTCTTCATCTCCTGCTGCTCGATAGTCCTAGTTTTATCACCCTCAGCCCTATAAGTCGCTCCCCCACCTCTGTCGGTTAGTCATTAACCCAACCTGAATTCCATCACTACAATCCTGCAATTCTTTTATCATTCATGGCACTAAAATTAACTAAATTCTGCTTATCATGTCATCATCCTCATCTCCACAATCCCCATAGAACCCTCTTGAAGCGGAGTAGTAGGGGTTAATCCACGGTATCTCCGCTGGTAGTCAGGATAAGCAGGTAAAACACAGTTGGCGTAGTTACAATACCTTTCTCCCAAGAACTAGACGACACATAGCTTGGAGGTCAACTGAGGCTTTTAATCACAGGCACAGTATTTATGTGGTTACAAATGTATGGGGTTTCCCGAGTCACGTTGCAGGGTTTGTCCACTTGGACTATAACCAGAGACTATATCTTTAAGGGTTGCCTATAGGTCTGGGGAGATATGTGCTTTACTCTGTATGTTGTATGCTACATGTATTGTCTGAATTGCCTGTATTTGCCATCTGCCGAATGCAAATGGCGGTTTGTATGGGGATTTTCTTTCGTTTCACGAACGGCACTTTGGAGGGCCGTTCGTGAACCGAACGCAATACCCCTAATAGCCCACACACTTAGAGGCATGTGGCGCTGGTTAACCGATTGCAACAATGTTGCAATCGGTAATTAGAGGCTCTCCTGGGTGGCCGTCGTTCGACTACCGACCATGCGGCGGTCGGCCGTCTTGGATCCTTTGTTCCCTCAGCGGTGCTAGGTCGTCGAGCGCATGGTACTAAAAACGGCTACTCGACGGCACGAACACCGCTGAGCCTCCAGGACGTTCGGGAGTTTCGGGCCATTCGGTATTTTTATATGTTTTATAAGAAATGTGTTTACCGTGCGGCGTTCGGTTATTTTAGCTGGGATCTGAGCGGTAATCTCACGAATGATGCGCTCAGACCCCAGCTATCTACCGAACGTCCATTCGTGTAAATCCACCGTACATTCAACAAGTTATGGATTTTTGTGTAAATTGTCGGTTCTGCTGCACGAGGGGATAATCCACTTAACGGTGGGTTCTGGGAGGAGGACCCCTCTCGTGCAGCAGTGCCTGATGGGAGAAATATGCTGTAATGTAAGTCCCCCATGTAGTCCCCTCTGGGAGTGCCCCTGGGAAGGGACTCAGGAAACCCCTTGCATGGGGACTTGTACAAATTGTGCAGCCGAATTAAAGGATTTCAGTTGACTCTCAGAATTGTGTCTCGTCCGGTTACTGGGAGGTTGGGGATATTGCCTTGTTGTTTCAGCGCTTGACTGTGGATTATTTCCTGAACCAGCGGAATTCGTGGATTTAATATTGGCGTTCCGCTACAGACTACATGGGGGACTGGGTTTTACAGCCAGAATACCCATCATACATTGCTGTACCAAGGAGATAATTATCCCAGAATGCATTGCTAATGGGATTATCCCTTGGTACAGAGAAATACAGTTTTTATATTAAAATCTATAACCGACATAATATTTATGCTAGACAGCTATTTAACCAACTTGCGCTCAGATCCAAGCACAAATAACCGAACGCAACCATTTCGGACCATTTCGTTTAACCGATTGCCTGAACTGAGAGAATGAAAGTCCCGAAAACGGAAAACTCCCGAACAGCTCGGAAGTCCAGTGGGGCTTGTGTTGCCGAGTAGCCGATTTTAGTTCCAGGCACTCGACAACAAAACCATGCTGGTTTTCCGCGAACAAAGATGGCCGCCGCCTTGTGTTCCGTACATGAATGGCGGCCACACGCAACAGACTGCAATTAACATCGATACATTGTTGCAAAGTACCTAATTGGAGACACATGACCTGTTATGGGTGGTCTCCCATTTGGTACTTTGCTTATTCCACGAATAGTGCGGTGATTCACTGTTCGTGGATAACCAGACTTAACATTAGCGGTATTCGAATGCTGTAACACACGAATGCCGCATACATTGCACAATAAAAATAACAGTAGCAGGAATATACAGTTGGCTTGAAAGTCTATAAGTGGCTAGATTTGCCACACCCCTGACCCAAGGACATTATCCCATCATAGTTACATACTCTGAAAAAAAGACTTGTGTCAATCAAGTTTAGCCTTTCTTGCATCTGTTTTTCCAAAAGAGGTAAAAAAAAGAAAATATACAAAAATAAAAACACAACAGTGTTTTCCAATTTTGCAACAAACTAAGAAAAAATTCCTTCTTTAACTCCAGAATGTTAAGAGACGGGGTGACAGACCGTACAATGGTATATCAAGGGTTAACCCTGTAATATAAGGTGACATGAAATCAATGTGTGACAGTAAAAATACTCTGACCTCCGCTAATGGTGTCTTTGTTGGGGGGTTTTGATTGGTTGCTATGACATTAATTATAAGAGGGACCCGAACAAACTCTGAAACCTCCCGTCATGTGGTATCATTCCAGGTCTGTGATGTAAACAGGGTTTGAATGCTATGAAATAATTATACGAAGGATATGTGAGGTTAAAGGAACAATTCAATGTTCTCGGTAAATGCATCGCAGATTCTGGGAATTACAGCAAGATTCCATTCACTCGTAACCTTTGCTCTGTCAGTTTTATCCATTAGATTGTTTGGAGATGTTTATTAATTGTTCGTACAGATGTAATAAGATTCAGAGCCGACAGACACCGAGTCTGTTCCTGTAACTGCATTGTAATGATTACATCCAAATCTTTAATCTCTGAATAATGATTAAATACAATGTGACTTTATTCTCCCACATTAACTGCTTCTGTCACCTTACAAACGAGCTTGACATTACAGAACGCGTCGTATTTAATGCGTTCCTGACGGTAAGTTCTGAGCTGCACAGATTGTATTTACTAATTGAAATCATATTTCTCCATAGATCTTGATTTAACATTTTTGGAAAAAGCTTTTCAAATGAAGGGGTGGGGGGCAGGCTTCCCCCTAAATAAGAAATATTAGTCAAAAAAACAGGGTGATGTAGGATATGACAGAGAACTTACAATCAAACCTTTCGCGAGTTCAAAAACGTTTTTCATTACTCGGTAAATCAAGGAAAATTTATTAAATCAAACTCCTAATGAGTCAGGTTTTAAATCCATTGGAAGAAATCTTTATAGGTTAGGATGGGGAATATTTATTAAAGACAAACCAAGCATATTGCAGAGTAACACAATACACACACACTATATGGAGCAATATAACACACATGTTCAAAGAAGACACAAAATAACAAAGACACAATTTATAACAAGCTAAGGAAGACCCGCTGCAATCTCTCTTTTTAATCACATCCCCGAACTGCCAAAATCCGCCCCCTGCGATTCACTCCCCTAAGGGGAGTATTTTGTTCCTTTTGATGCTCAAAATTAATGATGGAAGTGAACGAGTTTACACTTATTGTTCTTGTTTATTTTATCTGAACATTACGGCAGAGGAACAGAATTGCAGATTATGCTAACGTAGTGTACAGATAATCTTAATTTTAATAATGACAGGAGGCGAGTATTTTGCATAAACTTTCTTTACTTTATGCCTCCAGCAGCACAAGTCAATAAAGAAAAAGATTTAACCAATCAGAGTCCAGTACATCCGGTATATAAGTCCCTGACAGGCTCTCCATTTCCTCTTTCTTTGATGTACCCATGCCTGGAGAAACGTCCGATGTTGTGTTGTAGAAACTTGAACAATACAAAACTTGGTAACTTGCGATGTGAACTGGGAACATTCTGGAACCGCCGTCGCTTTACAATGCGATGTCAAACTGAAAAAAACAGAAACAAGTGAAAGGTTTTGGAACGCAACTATTGTCCACATAACACGTCTAATCTAACTTGTCCACATTAAACACTGTTTAACCTTTCTGTCTTGAATAATTTATCCCTGAGACTAACTTGTGACATAACTATGATCTGAGAGTGTTGTGTCCACTAGCTTTCATCATGTGAGTTAAGCATTCCTTGGTTCAGTTTTTACCTTTAACTTGTCCAATCCGCAGTATATAAAATATCAGTCAAAGAGGCTCCCGTCAAAAAGGCCCTAGATGCCGCCGCCCCCCTGACCGAATGGGCCCCAAAGCTAGTGTCAATTCCAGCTAAAGATAGTAACCACCTTATCCACCTGGCTAGTGTAGTTGTGGTGACTGGCTTGTGAGGTTTGGTGTATGAGATTAACAATTGTCCGGATCCGGAAGGCCGAAGGGGCGCCGTAACCTCTACATAGCAGAGCAGAGTCTCGACGACACAAAGGCGAGGAACCGCCGGAAAAAAGGGATAGGACACGGACTTTGAATCCGTCTTCGTCCTGCGCGAAATCAAAAACGTAACACCGACGGGGGTTATAGAAAAACCGTCTACGTCGAATGTCCGAACGTCCGAAACCTGTCGAAAGGATACTAAACATAACAAGAAGGTGAGCTTGGCCGACAATTGCCTGAGTGACAAGGCCGTGTTATCTGGCCATTCCCGGATAAAACGAATAACCACATCTACATCCCATAGTCGTTGATATTTCGGAGCTGGTGGTCTGGCTAATTTGATGCCCCTTAATAGCCTACACACTAAGGTCTCTTGACCCACTGGAGTGCCGTTGACCGGAATATGCGCCGCCGAGATGGCGGAGCGAGTTACATTGATAGACCGGTACGATTTCCCGGTGGAGAACAGGTAGGACAGGAAATTTAGTATGGCAGAGACAGGTGCTGTAAAGGGATCAAGGCCCCGTCCCAGACACCAGCGGTCCCATACATCCCATGTAGCTACGTCTTGTACCCGGTGCCCATGAGTCCCATAGGAGATCTTTAGTCGTTTGTGATAGATCTGAGACTGCCCAAGATCCCCTGTAAGAGTCCAGGCTACCAATTCTAGACGGTCCTGTACTAGTAATGGGTGAGGTTCTGCACTCGGGTTCGTGAGAAGCATTGGAAAAGTTGGCAGTACTAGTGGATGGTCCTGAGACAACGCTAGTAGGTCCGGGAACCAAGCTTGGCTTCTCCATAGCAGTGCTATTAGTATCAACGATGTTTTGGCCAGACGTATTTTGTGAAGCACCCTCGCCAGCATCGAAAAAGGTGGGAAAGCGTATGCCCCTACCGAGGGCCAGTGTTGCAGAAATGCGTCCACCGCCTCGCTCCGTGGATCCAGTAGCCAGCTGTAATACCTTGGTAGTTGTGCATTCGTGCGTGATGCAAAAAGATCTATGTGGAGCGGCCCCCTGAGCGTTCTCACCATGTCGAAGATCGTTGTGTCCAATTTCCAATCGCTGGTGTCCCGCCAATGACGAGAAAACCAGTCCGCGGTGAGGTTGTTGAGACCGGGTAAGTACTCCGCTCTGACCGTTATGTTGCGTGGTAGACAAAACCGATATATATCCTTGGTAGCCTCGGTCAAGGCTCGCGACCTGGCTCCCCCCAGGTGATTCACGTACTGGACCGCAGATATGTTGTCCATGCGTAGGAGAATGCAACAATCGGACATGTGTTTGGCTAGGTTGCGGATAGCAAAGGATCCGGCTATCAGTTCCAGGCAATTGATGTGGAGTTGTTTTTCTTCCTCTGACCACGGTCCCCCCGTGGACGCGTGTGCGCAGTGGGCTCCCCACCCCATAGACTGGCGTCTGACTCCACGACAAAGTCCGGGTTCAGACTGAAAATGGCTCTGCCGTTCCAAGCCTCCATGTGGAGGAGCCACCAATGAAGTTCTGTCCGGACCTCCGTAGTTATTCCTATTTCTTGGTCGTAAGAGTGTCCCCGCCTCAGGTGATGAGCTTTCAATCGTTGCATGGCCCGATAGTGGAGGGGTCCCGGGAAGATAGCTTGTATGGAGGATGACAGCAGCCCTACTATCCTGGCCAGGAGTCTCAGAGGAACCGTGTCTCTCCGCAGAAAACGTCTTATCTCCTTCCGAATGTTCGCAATCTTTGATTTGGGAAGGCGTAGCGTGCATGACACTGAATCTATCTTGAATCCGAGAAATTGAACAGTTCTTGATGGGGAGAGTGACGACTTTTCCCTGTTCACCATGAAGCCTAAGGATTCCAGAAAGTGCACTATAAATTTCGTCTGAGATCGAAGTCTGGAGTCGCTTCCACAGAATATCAGAATGTCGTCCAGGTATATTAGGCAGCGGATACCCAATGTCCGTAGGTGCGCCATTGCCGGCTTGAGCAGTTTTGTGAAGCACCACGGTGCGGAACTGAGTCCGAACGGGAGACACGTGAATTGACATGTGCGACCCCTCCAGTGGAAACGAAGGAATGGTCGACTGGACTGGGCTATCGGGATCGATAGATAGGCGTCCTTTAGATCCAAGCGAGTGAACCAGTCGTGTTCCAGGAGTAGGTCCCTGAGAAGATGAATGCCCTCCATTTTGAAGTGCCTGTAGGCTACGAATGCGTTCAAATCTCGTAGGTTGATGACGGGTCAGTAGTCTCCCGTCTTCTTCTGGACAACAAATATATTGCTGATGAAGCCCGTGTCGTCCGGAGCAAATTCGACCGCTCCCTTGAGAAACAAGCTTTGAATTTCGTCGTCTATGAGTTTGGCGCGTGACGCCGACGTTCTTATCGGTCGCGGGCGACGTGCCTGGGTCGGGGCATCCGTAAAATCTATCTCGTAACCCTTGATCGTTCGGAGGATCCAAGCGTCAGAAGAAATCTGTTCCCAATTCTGTGAAAAGAGAGACAGTCTGCCAGCGGTTAAATGAGATTGGCAAGATATTGGTGTGAAGAAATGACTCCGTTCATCAGAATTTCTACCTTTGTTGCACAGTTAATTCACCCAATTCAGCTGGAATTCGGCATATAGCTATAATTGCTACCCTTCGGATGGATTCAGGCGAATTCCCCGTGTAAAATCTAGGTGGCCGCCATTTCGGCACTTTACACGTGGTCGCGGCCATTTTACGTGCGAACAGCGGTGTTTGCCCGTCAACGCGTGGAACTAAAATCGGATACGCAAACAGGCGAACACCGCTGAGACCTCCATACATCCAGAACTTCGCACGGAAAAAACCGAATCACCGGCCGTTCGGTAGTTACATGCAACTTCGTATGGGGATTTCAACGACCACGAAGATGCGAACGGATGGCAGGACTTTCGTCTTTTTTATTCGCCTAAACGGAGACCGACCGCAGGGCCAAAACTTATGGAACTATTTTCGGCTAGATGATCCGTGCGGTCGGTCAAAACTTTAGTGCTCCATAACTCCCGAACCATTCATCCGAATGGACTGATTTTTTGACATATTGTCCCCACAAGTGAGCACTATCCAGCGGTGCCCAATTTAAAGGTGTACCCCCTGTTTTTGGGGTACATCCAGAACTGGGGTAAAATAGTGCACGTTTTAATGAAGTTAACTGTTTATCAGAGGGGAGGGAGGTAGGGGCTGTAACCTGTACCTGATTGGTGATTTAATGCCTCCCCCTGGGTGTGTATTTTTTGTATGTAACCCTAATAAAAAGCAGGCTGGGGATTCCAGACCTCAGATCTACTTGTATCCTGATTCTGGACTCTGACTGTTATTTGGGAATTCGTATGCTTTACCAGGGGGATTATCTTGGGAAGCTGTTATATTTCTTATGGACTTTATTGCTTGGATCTACCCTAGACGCTGGCATTGCAGGAGGAATTATCAAAGCGGTTCAGCTATACTTGATTTCCTTACAACTGGTGGCAAGCGGAGGGATTCGAACCCCAAATGGACATTTCAAAACAAGCAAAGGAATGAATGGCTCAGCAGTACCAGCTACTTAAAAGAACCACGCTAAAGGACTTACTGGAAGCTTGAGGCAGAGTGGCAAGTAACAAAACAAAAGCCACGTTAATTGCGGAGTTAATGCAGAGCGATAATACCAGTAATATAGAGATGGATCAAGAGGAAGAAACCGTGATGCAAAAGGACATCCGATGGACACTCAGTTTATTGGGACCCAAGCCATCCTCAGAGGCGATACTGCAGGTCGTAGCACAAGCCAGACAAGCGCAAAAAGAGCGAGATGACCGGGACAGAGCGTCACAGGGGGATTTGCTACACCCCCCGAGAAGTATTGGGGAAATACCAAAGAAGGTAAATTATGCAGCGTTTAAATCATTTGTCGACAATGAAATGGAAATTGACAGTTACTTGCAAGACTTTGAACGTCAGTGTGCACTGGAGGGATTAGACTCCACCAAATGGGCTGCAGTCGTCAGCAGTAAATTGTCAGGTAGAGCAGCCGAGGCGCTGCGAGCAGTACCTGAGGGGGACATACATAATTATGAGAAAATAAAAGACATTTTGTTGGCCAGATATGCGGTAACTCCGGAGGCATACCGGAAAAAGTTTAGAGACCTGAGAAAGTCTGGGAGAGATTCCCATACGGAATGGGCTTTTCGCTTGCAGCGGGCAGCCCGCAATTGGATGAAGGGCTGCCAGGCAACCACCCTAGAAGAAGCTTTGCAACTAGTAATACTGGAGCAATTTTTTAATCATACTGCAGAGGACATAAAAGACTGGGTAAAAGATAGGAAACCAAAAACCGTGGAGGAGGCCGCTAGGCTAGCGGACGAGTACCAGGATAACAGGAGGAAGGAGCCAGGGGCGAGCAGACCACCATTTAAGCCTCAGTACACAGCTCCAACAAACCCGGCTCCACCTAGACCTGCCATAGGTAACCCCCCACCAAACCCAGCAAACACACCTCGACCTCCTGCAGTGTGTCACTACTGCAAGCAACCAGGACATTACAAGCATCAGTGCCCTCGCTTAAACCGGGGAAGCTGGGAACGGCCAGCCCCACAACAACCCAGGGCAGCTGCTCACTGTGTGCAACAGGAACACACAGGCCCTGCCCTTAACCACGAAGAACAGTGGAGCGTATTACATGAGGTCAATCCAGTACGAGCTGGGGGGGACAACCGGGACCACCACCGCCAATGGATTACCGTCGATGGCGTGGGGGCCCGGGCGCTGAGAGACTCTGGGGCTACTTTGACTGTGGTACAGCCCCACACGGTCAGAGCACAAGCTCGCACCGGATGCACAGTCGCTGTAAGGGTGGCTGGGGGCGCTATTCACAAACTGCCCACCGCTAATATGCTTGTTGATTGGGGTTCCGGCTCTAAACAACTGGAGGTGGGGATTATGCAAGAACTGCCCGCCGAGGTTTTGTTGGGAAATGATGTGGGATGCCTAACCTCTCAACTAGCCCGAGACCCCACTGCCGAGGCCTACCCGGTTACCACCCGAGCTCAAGCCAGACTGGAAGCTCCGCTGCACTCTGAGGAGAACCAGGTAAGAGTCGAAATACCCCCTTTACCCGATCCCCCCGTACCCTTCTGGGATACCCCCCAGGGTTTGAACAGGAACAGCGTACTGACCCCACATTAGAAGGCTATAGGAAGGCCGCGGCCGCTACCCCCGAGAACAACCCGCACGAAAAATTTGAGTGGTATAAGGGGTTGCTATATAGGGTAACCGAGGGGGTGGGACAGGGGGCTACCCAGGTCATAAAAGACAGTTAGTTGTGCCCCGTAAATTTCGGGCTGAGTTGTTAAAACTCAGTCATGACATTCCCCTAGCAGGACATTTAGGGGTCAAAAAGACCAGAGACAGGTTAACTCAAACCTTCTTCTGGCCCAGAGCTACCCAGGACCTAAAGTACTATTGTAGGACATGTGATGTATGCCAAAGGGTAGGAAAAAGGGGAGACCTTCGGAAGGCTAAGCTTCACCCCCTACCCATCATTGAACAGCCCTTCCACCGAGTAGCGGTGGATTTAATAGGTCCCCTCAGTCGCCCCAGTCCGTCGGGCAAAAAGTTTATCCTAACGGTGGTTGACTACGCCACTAGATACCCGGAGGCAGTCGCCCTCACCAATATAGAGGCCGAGACCGTGGCAGAGGCCCTTATTCAGATATTCACCTGAGTAGGTTTCCCACAGGAGATACTCTCCGATCGGGGGACGCAGTTCACAGCCACCCTGACGCAACAACTGTGGCAGAGCTGTGGAGTGCAGCCCCTGTTCAGCGCCCCGTATCATCCCCAGACTAACGGGCTCTGTGAACGTTTCAATGGCACTCTAAAACAGATGCTAAAAACGTTTACAGAGTCCCACAAGAATTGGGAAAAATTCCTTCCCCACCTTCTGTTTGCCTACCGTGAGGTGCCCCAGGCCTCCACTGGGTTTTCCCCCTTTGAACTCTTGTACGGGAGAAAAGTTCGGGGCCCCCTGGAGCTCGTACGGGAACACTGGGAGGGCAATACAGATGAGGGGGGAGTCCCTATCGTCCAGTATGTCCTGGAGTTCCGGGACCGTCTGCGGGCCCTCACCGAATCGGTTCGGAAGAACCTGCAGGCGGCCCAGGAGGACCAGAAAAAGTGGTACGATAGGAGGGCCCAGGATAGAGTGCTGGACTTAGGGCAGAAGGTACTGGCTCTGAGGCCCGTTAAAAAGGACAAGCTGCAAGCAGCCTGGCAGGGACCCTTTAAGGTAGTGGAACAGGTTAGCGAGACTACCTACATCGTGAGCAAATGCGCAGATGAAAGGCTGACCAAAGCCTTCCATGTGAACATGCTCAAACCATATTTTGAAAGGACAGAGGAGGTGGGCGCCGTGTGCGCCCCCGCCACAGAGGATAGTGAAGGGCTTCCCCTGCCTGACTTGCTGGAGACCACCCCCTGTACTATTGACCAAGTAAGCTTGGGGCAAAATTTAGACCTCCTGGAGAAAGGTGAGGCTACCCATCTGCTGCAGGGATACCGAGAGATGTTTTCCGCTACCCCAGGCTATACCTCCGCTGCGGTACACCGTGTGGAAACCCAGGGAGAGACGCCCCTACGGCAACAGCCATATCGGATCCCGGAAGCAGTACGTGAGAGTATGCTCACCGAGTTAAGGGATATGTTACGGCTAGGGGTAATAGAACCCTCCCAAAGTCCTTGGGCCTCCCCGGTGGTACTAGTACCGAAGCGCGACGGCACTAAGCGCTTCTGTGTAGATTACCGGAGGCTTAACGACCGTACCATAACCGATGCCTACCCCATGCCTAGAATAGATGAGCTCTTAGACCGTATGGCGGGGGGGAACTACTTGACTACCCTGGACCTGTGCAAGGGTTATTGGCAGATCCCCTTGGAGCCTGCGGCCATCCCCAGGTCGGCGTTCGTCACCCCTTTTGGGCTATACCAATTTAAGGTGATGCCCTTTGGGATGAAGAACGCTCCGGCTACGTTTCAGCGGATGGCGGATAGGCTCCTGGAGGGGTTTCAGGACTTCGCATGTGCGTATCTAGATGATATTGCCATCTATAGCCGCACATGGGGAGACCATCTGGGTCATGTGTCCAGGGTACTCGAACGAATCCACCTCGCCGGGCTCACTTTGAAACCCGACAAGTGTCACGTAGGCCTAGCCGAGGTCCAGTATCTAGGCCACCGTGTCGGCTCCGGTAGGCAACGCCCAGAGCCCGCTAAGGTAGAAGCCATAGCTAACTGGCCCCAACCACGGACCAAAACCCAGGTACTGGCTTTCTTAGGGACGGCCGGGTATTATAGGAAGTTCGTCCCAGAATATAGCGCCCTGGCCAAGCCCCTCACGGACCTTACCAAAAAGGCCCTTCCCAAACAGGTCTCCTGGACCCCAGAGTGCACGGACGCTTTCCAGAAGCTCAAAACGGCCTTGAGTGAGGCCCCTGTGTTGGCAGCACCCGATTACACTAAACAATTTCTTGTCCACACAGATGCCTCCATGTTTGGGCTGGGAGCCGTGCTAAGCCAGGTGGGGGCGGATGGCATGGAACACCCGGTGGCATACCTCAGCCGTAAACTTTTGCCCCGAGAAGTCAGCTATGCCACCGTAGAAAAAGAGTGCTTGGCCCTCGTGTGGGCCCTCAAGAAACTTCAGCCCTATCTGTATGGGCGAGCGTTTACCCTTATGACCGACCACAACCCCCTGGTATGGCTCAACCGGGTAGCTGGTGACAACCCCAGGCTACTCCGGTGGAGCCTAGCTCTCCAACCATACAATTTTACCATGCAGTACCGTCCGGGTAAACAAAATGGGAATGCGGATGGACTGTCCCGCCAGACCGAACTGGACACCTAAAAACGTACTTTCATCGGACATCCCCAAGCCAACCCGACAGGGTCTAGGCGGGTATGCCGACCTATGGACTTATAGGGGAGCAGTGTGAAGAAATGACTCCGTTCATCAGAATTTCTACCTTTGTTGCACAGTTAATTCACCCAATTCAGCTGGAATTTGGCATATAGCTATAATTGCTACCCTTCGGATGGATTCAGGCGAATTCCCCGTGTAAAATCTAGGTGGCCGCCATTTCGGCACTTTACACGTGGTCGCGGCCATTTTACGTGCGAACAGCGGTGTTTGCCCGTCAACGCGTGGAACTAAAATCGGATACGCAAACAGGCGAACACCGCTGAGACCTCCATACATCCAGAACTTCGCACGGGAAAAACCGAATCACCGGCCGTTCGGTAGTTACATGCAACTTCGCATGGGGATTTCAACGACCACGAAGATGCGAACGGATGGCAGGACTTTCGTCTTTTTTATTCGCCTAAACGGAGACCGACCGCAGGGCCAAAACTTATGGAACTATTTTCGGCTAGATGATCCGTGCGGTCGGTCAAAACTTTAGTGCTCCATAACTCCCGAACCATTCATCCGAATGGACTGATTTTTTGACATATTGTCCCCACAAGTGAGCACTATCCAGCGGTGCCCAATTTAAAGGTGTACCCCCTGTTTTTGGGGTACATCCAGAACTGGGGTAAAATAGTGCACGTTTTAATGAAGTTAACTGTTTATCAGAGGGGAGGGAGGTAGGGGCTGTAACCTGTACCTGATTGGTGATTTAATGCCTCCCCCTGGGTGTGTATTTTTTGTATGTAACCCTAATAAAAAGCAGGCTGGGGATTCCAGACCTCAGATCTACTTGTATCCTGATTCTGGACTCTGACTGTTATTTGGGAATTCGTATGCTTTACCAGGGGGATTATCTTGGGAAGCTGTTATATTTCTTATGGACTTTATTGCTTGGATCTACCCTAGACGCTGGCATTGCAGGAGGAATTATCAAAGCGGTTCAGCTATACTTGATTTCCTTACAATTGGTTTTAGAGTGCTCGCCTGTGTTGTTGCGTCCGCGGCCGTGTGTCCCTCTGGCACGGAAGGAGTCTCTAGTGAACGGTGGCCTCCATGGGAAGAAGGCTTGTGACGCTTGGTTCCTGAGGCCTGTCGGCCAGAAGCGGCTGGTGGCTCGGCCCCGTTGGCGGCCAGCCCTGCCGAAAACCCCTCTGTACGTTGTGGGTTTGCGGAAGACTTGCTTGATCGAAGTCTGTGCTTTGCTTAACGTAGTGAACAGGTTCACATGTTTCTTCAATTCGCCTATGAACGACTCCCCAAACAACTGGCCATTGGCTTGTGGGCCCAACTCCTTTTTACCAAGCTCCAGAAGTTTGGAGTCCATTTTAAGCAAAGCCGCCTTGCGTCTCTGCGCACATAGAGCTGCGTTAGTGTTGCCCAACATACAGATCGCTCGTTGAGCCCATTCCCGGATGTCATGGGCGTCTAGAGCGTTGCCTCCCGTGAGGGCATCATCAGCCAGGTATAAAATCTTTGCCAGTGGGCCCAGCATGTCCAGAAGCTTATCCTGCGAAGCCTTGAGGCCCTTCTCGATGCCTTTGCGCGGATCCCGGCCCGCTCGCAACATGAACAAGACCACCGTAGTATCGAATTCCGGAGTATGAGCAATCTTGTCCGGAAGCATGGGCATGGGACTGTTATGACCTTGGAAGCCCGCTCGCAACATGAACAAGACCACCGTAGTATCGAATTCCGGAGTATGAGCAATCTTGTCCGGAAGCATGGGCCTCGGACACTCTGCCTTTAGTCGTACACGCATTTCTTTTTCCATCGGCTGTCGCAGCCAGAAGTGGATGAATTGGGCCAGGTGATCTGGGAGACCCCACTCCGAAGACCTTGGGTGGCGGATTGTGCGTGGGTTGAACATCGGCGTGCCCTGGGGGTCCAGGAAGGCACCCTCTTCCGACCCTTCTGCTCGGATGCGGGGTTTCCTATGCCCCTGCCGGACCTCCTGGTCTTCGTCTAAGTCAGACCCCGGGTCCTCTCGGTGAGTGTCAAACCAGTCCTCCTCTTCGGACGGGGAATCCTCCGCCTTCCATTCATCCATAACCTCCTTGGAAGGCATTGGTTGATTGGGCTCAAGGAATACGTCAAGCCCTTTGAAGGCATATTTTGATTGGGCTCTAGGACTGTCATGCCCTTAGAGCCCAAAGAAGGCATAGGTTTATTGGGCTCAAAGACTGCATCAAGTGCTTGGAAGGCATACAGTATCTCACTGTGGCAGGACCTCTACCCTTTTCTTGAAATGTCTTTATGTGATTGCCTGTATTCCCCCCCTCCCCTCCATGTATTTGTATGTTTTACCTGTTCCCTATTTGGGAGAACTTATACAAATGGGTTCCGTTAGTCTCCCGAACAGGGACCACGTCAATACCCCATTAAGAATGTTTGTTTAGAACGTTCACACCTCACAAACGACGTGTGAAAACCACATACCGCAAGGAAGCCTCAGCGCGTGCCTACCCTGGGTCTTTGTCTTTGTGTGTGATCCACCCCTTGCATGGGGAAAAGCATAAAGTCGAATGTGGCCAATAAAGTTGTTGTTGTTGTACGCCTGGAACTGTGTGTCATCCAGTCATCTTCGTTCTGTATCAGTTGAGGTAACCAATCGGGTTACCCTCGGCCCGCTACAACTGGTGGCAAGCGATGGTATCCTATGTCCCTGCGAACAGATCCATGGACTATAGTTACCTCAAGAGACAAACCCTACAGGACTTGCTGGAAGCGAGAGGGAAATCGGCAGGCAACCATAAAACAGTGGAGCTGATTGCCAAACTCATGGAGGACGATCAGAGAAGACAGGAGTCGGCTACTCCACAGCTGGAGGGGGAAGAGTGGTCAAAAAGGCAATAAGGCAGCACTTTGCCTTATTCCCAGGGATGCCCCCATCTGAAATACTAGCCAAGCTCATCGCGGAGACCCACGCATTTGTTCTGGCTCAGAAGTAGGGGGGGGTCACACTACCCGAGGGACAGCGGGCAAGAGGAGCCGTCTACACCTACACACAAGCCAAAGCTGCCATACAACGCCTTAAAGTAGTTTAAGGAAGCAGAAGAGGGCTTTGACTATTTCAAATGCCAGTGCCTCCTGCAAGCAGTCAACCAACCTGACTGGGTAACCATCTTGTCCAGCAAGTTGTTGGGGAAGGTGGTGGAAGTGTACCGGGCTGTAACTGAGGAACAGCTCCGGGATTACCCCTTCATTAAGAAGGTACTACTGGCCAGGTTTGCCATCACCCCAGAGGCATACTTCCGAAAATTCAGTGAGACCAAGAACGGAGAGAAGGACTCCCATACAGAGTGGGCATGCTGTATCACCCGGGCCACCCACAACTGGATAAACTCTGAACATACCAAGTCCCACCCCCCACCCCCCGTGATCCTACAGCTCTTCATGTTGGAACATTTTTAAAACGGGCTCCCCATTGAGGTGTGGAAGTGGGTGAGGGACAGCCAGCCCAGAACTTTAACTGAGGCAGCACAGAGAGTGATGACTATGCTGACACCCAGTGGCCCCAATGCCCAGCTGCTCCTGTGACCTACAGACTCCCCTTGCGCCCTACAGCCCCAACCTACCCCCCACCAAGAAGCCCACCACCCAAGGGTACCCCCACAGGTGGCCCCAAATGCTTCCAATGCCATCAACCTGGCCACCAAAAAAGGGACTGATCTCAAATCCGACCCCAGGGGTTCGCCCTATGATCGCTCAGACCCCAAGACCTTTTTTCAGCCCCAAAAAAGGCCAAATAAAAAGCCATAAGAACCAACGCAATTAAAAAAAAAAAAATTTTTTAAAAATGAGCGCACAAAAAAATAATCCATCTTCACCCATGGAGGGCTCCACGCAGACTGAGCTCTGCAGGGCGGGGGAAGGCTTATAAAGCCTTGCCACGCCCTGCAATTAGGCTAAGAACACTCTGATTGGCTGGTTTAAGCCAATCAGAGTGCTCTTTGTCATTGTACACAGCGTGGGAAAATTCAAAAGAACTTTCCCACGCTGTGTAAAATGACACAGAGCACTGTGATTGGATGGCTTGAAATCCATCCAATCACAGTGCTCTGTGTCATTTTACACAGCGTGGGAAAATTTAACTTTCCCACGCTGTGTAAAATGACACAGAGCACTGTGATTGGATGGATTTCAAGCCAAAATTTAACTTTCCCACGCTGTGTAAAATGACACAGAGCACTGTGATTGGATGGCTTGAAATCCATCCAATCACAGTGCTCTGTGTCATTTTACACAGCGTGGGAAAGTTCAATTTTCCCACGCTGTGTAAAATGACACAGAGCACTCTGATTGGCTTAAACCAGCCAATCAGAGTGCTCTGTGTCATTTTACGCCCTGCCTAATTGCAGGGCGTGGCAAGGCTTTATAAGCCTTCCCCCGCCCTGCAGAGCTCAGTCTGCGCGGAGCCCTCCATGGGTGAAGATGGATTATTTTTTTGTGCGCTCGGTTTTTTTTTTTGGTTGGTTTTTTTTATTGCGTCGGTTCTTATGGCTTTTTTTGGCCTTTTTTGGGGCTGAAAAAAGAAGATTGTAGAAGAAAGAAAACATCAAATGGTAAGTTATTTTTATATAATTTTTTTGTTAATTTAAGGGCCCCCACCCACCGCTCAGGGGTGGGGGCCAGGGGGGGACAATAGGTCCCCCCTTATTGTTATTAGGGCCCCCACCCACCGCTCAGGGGTGGGGGCCGGGGGGGGACAATAGGTCCCCCCCTTATTGTTAATTTTAGGGCCCCCACCCACCGCTCAGGGGTGGGGACCGGGGGGGACAATAGGTCCCCCCCTTATTGTTAATTTTAGGGCTCCCACCTACCGCTCAGGGGTAGCGGCCAGGGGGAGGACAAACGGTCCCCCCTCTATTAGTATTTAGGGACCCTTTTTTTTTTTTAACAGTGAGCATTTTGAAAAGCCTGAAAAGTCAGAGCCTACTATATGTGGCTCTGCAAAGTGTGAGTGTGAAATCTATATCCAACATTGACATTTTATGTTTATACAGTATTATGCTTTGTATTGTCTGTTTTTTAAGTGAAATTCTAAATTTGATGGCCAAATGTGAATAAGTATTGTCAACTTATTTCTTTATTTTCTTATTACACTTTAAGTTGTGCCCCTATCTCTATCTTTGTTTATACTATTTCGATCCGTTACACTAACCTACCCAGTCTACATACCCCACTATCCAGAACCCAGCCCACCCAGCCTACATACCCCACTATCCAGAACCCAGCCCACCCAGCCTACATACCCCACTATCCAGAACCCAGCCCACCCAGCCTACATACCCCACTATCCAGCCCCCAGCCATATCTACCCCTATATGTGGAACCCAATCTACCCAGCCATATCTGCCCCTCCATCCAGAACCCAACCTATCCAGCCCTACAAACCTCACTATCCAGAACCCAACCTACCGAACCCTATCTGACCCTCTATCCAGAATGCAATCTACCCCTCTATCAGATCCAAACCTACCCAAGCACTATATATCTCTAATTTCTCCTACATATCTGCATGAGAAGCTGCATCCACAATAACCATCTATAGAGTGAGTCCTCCATCATATTCTCAGGTGGGAATTGTTCCACCAAAGTTTCTAAGTTAGAGCTGCAACTAAGCTCCTATAAAGTGTAAGTGCATATAGTTTATTTACCTTTACCTTACTGTATTTTTTACATACTTTACTATCAGTTTCTTATTTCTCCTCCTTATTATGGTTATATATACATACTCCAAGGACATTCCAGGACATTCCAGGTGCTGCCCCTCCCTCTTTGTTTTTACCTGCTTATCTACGGGACAAGAGAAACCCTGGATTTGGTGACCTAGCTGCCCTTTGAACTGTACCAGTACTGGACAAGTGAATATCCTCTTGCTTTTAACTAAAAATGGGTGCCAAGCATGGGGTACCTACCATAGGGTAACTATTAATGGGTATTGGACATTTGGTAACCATGGGGTAACTCATAATTGGACATGTGGTAACTGCTATGAGGTAACTGATCATGGGTATCGGACATAGAGTAACTGCTGTTGGGTAACTGATAATGGGTATTGGACATGGGGTAACTGTTATGGGGTTACTAAAATTGGGTATCACACATAGGGTAATTGCCATGAGGTAACTGATTATGGGTAACAGACATGGGGTGATTTCCAAGGGGTAACTGATTATAGGTATCGGACACTGGGTAACTAAAAATGGGTATCACACATGGGGTAAATTACATGGGGTAAGTGATAATGGGTTTGGGACATGTGGTAACTAAAATTGGGTATCAGACATGAGGTAACTGATAATGGGTATCGGACATGGGGTAACTGCCACAGAGTAATTGATAAAGGGTATCGGACATTGGGTAACTGCCATGGGGTAACTAAAATTGGGTTTGGGACATGAAGTAACTGATAATGGGTGTGGGTTAACTGATGTGGAGTAACTGATAATGGCTATTGGACTTGGGTAACTGATAATGTGTACCAGACATGGGGTAACTGATAATGGCTATTGGACTTGGGGCAACTGATAATGTGTACCAGACATGGGGTAACTGATAATGGCTATTGGACTTGGGTAACTGATAATGTGTACCAGACATGGGGTAACTGATAATGGCTATTGGACTTGGGGTAACTGCCACGGGGTAACTGATAATGGGTACTGGACATGCGGTAACTGATAATGGATATGGGACATGGGGTAACTGATAATGGCTATTGGACTTGGGGCAACTGATAATGTGTACCAGACATGGGGTAACTGATAATGGCTATTGGACTTGGGTAACTGATAATGTGTACCAGACATGGGGTAACTGATAATGGCTATTGGACTTGGGGTAACTGCCACGGGGTAACTGATAATGGGTACTGGACATGCGGTAACTGATAATGGATATGGGACATGGGGTAACTGATAATGGCTATTGGACTTGGGGCAACTGATAATGTGTACCAGACATGGGGTAACTGATAATGGCTATTGGACTTGGGTAACTGATAATGTGTACCAGACATGGGGTAACTGATAATGGCTATTGGACTTGGGGTAACTGCCACGGGGTAACTGATAATGGGTACTGGACATGCGGTAACTGATAATGGATATCGGACATGGGGTAACTGATAATGGGTACCAGACCTGAGGTAACTGATAATAGCTATTGGACTTGGGGTAACTGATAATGGGTACCGGACATGGGATAACTGATAATTAACATTTTTATAGTGTCGCATGTTATATACATATTGTCGTAACATTGCAGAAACTCACATTGTCGTAACATTGCAGAAACTCACATTATTTGGATATTTTTGAATGAAAGCAGGGTGAGAATCTTTGTAGGTTTTTATGTGGAAAGTACCACTACTGCCCTGTGCTGATTCATTAATTGTTCATAAAAAAACTAAGAAACCATTTGGGGTAGAAGTTTGGACTACGACAGAGCTGGACCTCGCTCGCAGCCAGGAAAGAGCTGATAGAATCCCTGTGGCTGATAGATTGTTTAAATAAAACAAAGGCATGAATTTGATTGATTTCCACTCTTATAAAAATTGTTGAGAGCAAGTAACACTGAGGGCGTCCCACTGGCCTGGATTAGATATAAACTACACTCGGAAAGACGCGCAATGGGACGCTAATCTCCCGCTGCTACCAAATTGGTAACTAAAATGATCTGTGTTCGATGTGTCTGAATGAAGGTGAGAAAAGACTGAGAATGTGATAAACTGTCCCCTCCTGCCAGGCGGCTGATGGGGTTTGGATTCTAAATACAAGCTTTAGATCTTTCTTCCTGTTCCTGTGTCACTTGTCATTGTCTCTCACAACACCAGGAATTGATAGAAATATGTCACCTGCCAAATCAGAATCATGACTTCCTTCTAGCAGCAGTTAGTGACCTAAAGAGCTTGCAATCTAAGCTGTAAGCAGGGACAATCTGATAATATAACTGGTATACTAGAATTGACCCCTGGAGCTTGCTGTCTATTGTAATCCAGTCTGTAATCCTGATGAATTTACAGCACGATTAGGGCCCAAGTTATTCTAATTACCAGAAGAGCTACTATCAACTATAATAGAAATAAATTCCTAGATTTCTAGACAGAGATTGGACACCTAGAAACCCACAGAACATTGTGCTATTATTCTGGGCCTGTGAGCTTGCAAACATTGCATTGTAGGGTAGTGGTGGGTGGTCGTTGTGCTTCGGATAAGTAAATATGTAAAACAAAAACCAGAGAGAGTCCAATAGTGGAGTATATTGACTATCAGGACTGGAATAAAAGTACAGAAATAATTTGTAGTTCCCAAAAGAAAACCGATGGAAAAGGCTGCCTGGTATAGAAAGCAGGACAGAGAGTAACCTTATAATGATTAACTAGTAAAATACATGGTCCGTGAAAAAGGCATTTCTGATCTGTCTAGTGATCACTTAAACTCCCACATATCAATGAAATAAAAGGCTTTATTAAAGTGTTTGCCAACTAGCCCCTCTTATATTCTTATTAATATTATATACCCATAGCAGTTAAAGTAACCACCATTTCATTTCCAAGATTAACAGTGATAAGGGATACAAAATAATGTCTCCTATCGATACCCTTAAGTGGTTTGGAAACAACAAACTGTAAATGCACAAAAAGGCTACTGCATATAAAATGAAAAACGTAACGAGTAAATAGACTGGGCCTCTATTGAGGATCAATAGCAAAGTATAGCATAAGGTAGAGATATGCAAAGATCCCTCTCTCCCTTTAAAACTGACTAGACAAAGAAAATGAACAAAGAAATTGAAAAGTGCATAGTGCTGTAAATAAAGTGCACAGTGAAATAGTAAATGTGCAAAAATTTGCACGTTTCGGTGCCACTTAGTGTGAGGCAAGATGCAGACTGAAAGGATCTCCAATATATAAGGTTGGGTCCACAAAGCAATTAGGTTAAACCTTCTAAACCAGATGTGGAGTTTTCAAGGGTAACCAATTTTTGAAAAGCTGTTATCAATCTCTCATACATTATTGGTGCCCCACCTGTAGTAGCCAGTAAACTAAACATTTAAAATTCTTCATTAGGCAAAATGTCATAAGTTAAAGTTGTGGCGGACCCCCTGGCACCCCGACTGGGTGCCTCGGCTGATTTCTGCTTCCTAGTGCTCACCAAGTACTCCAAGCACTCCACTCGACACCATAACAACCGTAAACCCTGCAGCCAGCATTACAACTTGGTTGGGGTCTCGCTGTCCTCCACCCACCCTGGACCCAAGACCAGGATCCAGCTTACAGTGGGTAGACCTCTCCTACTCCAGAGAATATAGCAGGATAGCTCTTACAAGAGCAAGTGATTATAATCCAAGGGAGTATAGTGATTATAGCAATCCCCAGAGTGAATATAGCTGTTCCCTCCACACATGAGACGAGGTTCTATGTTGAGGGTGAAGAGGAACTGGTTTAATGGGAGCCACATGCAGTCCCCATGCAAGGGTTTTCCGGATACATATTCCAGGGGCATTCCCCACTGGACCTGAGAGGGGACTGTGACAAAGTACACACTGTAATTACATTGGCTCTGAGGTCCAGGACACTCCCACACAAAACAGGATAATCCCTCCCCTGTGCCTGAGAGATAATTGAGTCAGGAACTGTACTAAACTCCATTATCACCAGGCACAGAAAACATACATTATAACAACCTCCCAAAAGTACCCCCAAAATACATGGAAACCTCACAAAGTCACATCCCCTGATAGCCCTGATCTGGGGGACCAACATATCCAAAAATCACCCAGATCTGTTCAATGGTTCAGAATTTCCATGGAAGTCATAATTTTGACCGACCGTGCACATGGTCCTATGCCCAAAACAGTTCCAGGGAATCAGGGCTAATGGTAGGTCTCTCTTTCTGGAGTACAACAGTACATAAATCACAAAGGTTTTTTAAAGGGCCCATAGTCTTTTGGCAGGAGGCTGGCAAACAGGCCCCTCCAACAGAGTTTACAGAATGTATATACACATAAAATCATTTATTTAAATATTTACAAAGACGTTATAGTTCTTAGAAAAGGTAACACATAGCAGAGAAAATGAGATATTACTGAATAAATGGGGTATATGAAAAACCTTTATTTAGACCATTTGGATATGGCTACCCTTGTATATGGCTACCCTTTTTTCCTTAAAGGGTTTTTGGAGTCATTGAGGTTTCAGTGGGTATCTTCCACAGATGAGCAATTTCTACGTAATCTAAAATATAGCCCAACTGGTATACCCCTTTTAAGGACTGGTGGATGATGACTCAGCCAGTTAAGTAAGTTGTTGGTTGCAGTCGTGTTTTGACATAAGGTGGTCTCTAGTTTACTATCCATCCCTATGAAAATTGTAATATCAAGAAAGTTGATACAGTTGCCACCAATTTCTGAGGTGAATTTAAGATTTATATTAATGTAAAAACGAAAATTATAGGTTGCACCACAATAAAATCAATGATAAAACCAGTGGTATACTTACATACAAAATCATAAATGCGAAATAGAATAGTCCTGGTTAAAAGACATATTGATGAAAAGTCCAAATTGATTGAAGAATTTGAGTGAGATATGGATATGTTGGTTGTAGAGGTTCTGAGGTAGTGGGATATTCAGATTCCATAGGAGTATGTAAATTAGAAAAAATTCCAATAGTGTAATCTGTTTCTGGTAGTGAAAAGAGGAGTTTAGAAGCAATGGTAATACTCCTACTCACCTAGTAAAAAGCTCAGTTGTAAATGGCATTCAGTGGCGTCGATCCCCCACTGGTAGGATGTAGGTGTTGGTAGGTGGTGAAGGTCCTCGGTATTGGGAGAGAGATAAAACCAAAACTAGTGCTCTTTGTATAAAGTAATAAACACGTGATATTTAAAAAGGTATAATACTCACATTTAAGTGAGCAGGGTATACTGTTCACTATAATAGCATGGGTGGTATAATCCCCACCTGGGATTCTTGGGTGAGAAAATACTCCAAAATTCTTGATGACCAGGTTAAAAACAAATTTAAAAAATAAAATATGTAAAGAAGGTATATGGCACACACAAAATTAAGGGGCCAATATTCCTTTCATGGTACATATAAAAAAGTATTAAAAACAGCCAAAACGTGTTTCGCCAACACAGGGCTTCATCAATTGGCAATAAGAACAATAACCTGGTAAGTAGTGGTTTATATAGGCAATACATTCAATTAATTATTCAAATTTTGACACCAAAATGACGTCATAATTATAGGACACATATAGAATACAAAACAAATTGTTAGCAGTGTTAAAATGATATGTAGATTATACAAACTATAAAAATATAATTGATTTATTAAAATGAGGGTTGTATAAAATATATAACAAGAAAGTATATAAGGAAGTGTAAGGGAGCGGTCACGTGGTGCGCGATAGATTGTGACGCGCTATACCACATGACTTGCCGTGAATCAATATGGGAAATGTATGCTGCACTAAACCCTCCGGCTGTATTGCAGCGAAAACTGTGTTGGAACTGGGCGGAGCATTCCTTTGAGGATATGCACGTGTAAGAAAACAGAGCAGTGGGAAGGAGTGAAGGCGGACCGTGGGATGGACGCAATGTGCGTGCGCATCCCACGGCAGTGCAGTGTGGGAGATGAAGTCCCCGGGTAGTCTATGGCTCAAAAGTCTATGGCTACAATAAAAGAAAAAAAACCAATTGACTTTTGCATTAAGGTTACAGAGATACATGTGTATTAACATTGAAGTTACAATAAGGTTACAGAAATGTATGTGTATTAACATTGAAGTTATAAATATAAATATCAATAGAGACATATGAGGATATTTTGGAGAGCTGGCTTTAACTGACAGAACCTCTAATATGGAATAATTGCAATAAATAGCTATAATATGAGGATAAAGACCCATTTGAGAGGAGATGGAGTAAAGCATTCTATTAAAAACTATAATGTGAGGAATATAACCTAACTTGTGGGAGTAGAGGGGGGAAAGAGGGAAGGGGGTAAACCATTTTATTAAAAGAGTAACCTACCTTTTAAAGCCAGAATAGATATTTTCTTCTTTTATTTGTATTTATAGACCTTAATTGGTGGGTGAAACTCCCATCTTAGATAAAGAAAAGGGAGATATGTGAAAATCAATTGAAAAGGAGAGAAGTATGTTAGGTAGGGACATATAGGAAAAAAGCATGTGCGGGACCAAAAAAAATATAGATATAAAAATGAAAATATAAATGAAAATTTTGTGGAAATAAAAATAAATATAAACATTTTATATAAAAATAAAAATAGAGGTAAAAATAAAAAAAAATAAAAAAATAATACAAAAATAGAAATAAAAAGTAAAAATAGAAATAAAAATAATAATAAGAGTAAAAATAAACGTAGAGATAAAAAAAAGGTAGAAGTAAAAATAAAAATGAGATTAAACATATATTAAAAATATTATTGCAAAAAACCAATTTTATAAAAAATGTAAAAGATCAAATTGAACATTAAGACCTTCTGGATAGAGAGTTTTTAGCTGGAAAACCCAATTAATTTATCTTTTACCTATGATTTTTCTCATTTCTCCACCTCTCCCAATACATTTTAGTAGTTTTGGGTCTTTATTATGTTTTATAAAATGTCTTGACACAGAATGGTTTTCGAACCCTTTAGCAATGTTTCGACAATGCTCTGCTAACCTTATTTTTAAACATCTTTTAGTCATACCGATATATTGGGCACTCCAACATATAAATAATATTCTTTAATTGGGTATGATTTACCAGTGTTAGTGGAGGAGAAGCGGGTAGTCTTAGATTTAATTGTTGGGTCTGTGGTTTTACATACAATACATTTATTGCACTTGAAAAACCTTGTGTGTTTTTTATGCTTTTTTTTTGTATAGTTTCTTGTAAGAATGCTTTTGAAACTGGGGGCTCCACTAAATATAATGTTAGGTCTGTCTGAGATTTGGTCCTTTAAAATATCATCTTGTTTAAAAATATGCCAAAGTTTGTTTATTATTGTTTTTCATAATTTTGTTTTTGTTTTTAAAATCCAAAATGATTGGTAATGTTGGAGGGTCTTCTTTTCAATCCCTATTAGTTTTGTATTCTAATAGTTCTTTTATCTCTTTATTTCTGACCATGCTTAGAGCTGCACCTAATTTTTCTAAAGGATATTTTTTCTCAATGAACTTATTCTTTAATAAGGTAGATTGGATTATAAAATCATTGGTTTGGGAGCAGTTGCGATGAAGGCGGAGAAATTTACTCTTTGGGATACCATCTAGCCAAGGTTTATATTGGCAACTGGATTGATCTATTATAGTATTAGTGCACACCTTTTTTAAAAAAAGTTTTGGTTTGGATAGACCCACCTTGAATAAAAATATTAAGAAATTGACTCATACCTTGCTATACTCTGAAGTTAGGATCATACCTTTATCATTGTCGTTAAGATGGTTTAAAAACAGTTTAAGAGTTATTTCTGAACCTTGCCAAATAAGAAAACAAATCATTGATATAGCGGAAATAGGAAGCCAAGTTTGCCCGCCAGCTATGTTCTCCCAAGGTGGCCGAAGACTCCCAGTCGGCCATAAAGAGGTTGGCATAGCCGAGGGCAAAACTAGTTCCCATAGCTGTCCCTTTTCTTTGAATATAAAATGAGGTCTAAAAACCAGAAGTAGTTGTTCGTTAAAATGATCCTTTTACCTTCTGTGATAAAATGGATTTGATACTCTGGGACTAAATTTTCTATCTTTAAATTTTTTTCGACTGCTTCACATCCTATGTTGTGCAGTATTATAGTGTATAAGGATTGGACATCGCAGGTAACTGGGATATAGTTTGGACACCAAGTAAAATCATACATGTGCACTTGTCTGCTGAGATGCGCTATGTCCCTTGGGCCTTAAACTCCTTTACTGTGTTTACCTCTACCACTTCAGCTGGAAGGCTATTCCATGCATCCACTACCCTCTCAGAAAAGTAATACTTCCTGAAATTATTTTTAAACCTTTGCCCCTCTAATTTAAGACTATGTCCTCTTGTTGTGGTAGTTTTTCTTATAGAAACATAAAACTAGCAGCCAATCTGCAAATAGTTAAAATCTCTTGACAGACTGAGGCTTAATTATGTGGCAGCAAGCCAGTACTTGCTAGCCAGCCGCCACACGAAAAAAGTGGGAATAAATAAAAATCCTATGGGGGTAAATAACGCCCCCATATTATTGTAATGTAAGATTTAAAGCTCCATACTTGCCATGCATTTAGTTAGGGCATATCTATTAAATACTTAATACTGCAGTCACTGCCATGGGGTCTATGAAATAACAGAGGAAAATAGTCCATGTGCCCTCAGCCGTAGGCATCATGTGGATGCTCTCCACCCAGCCCCCATCCCTTGGTGGGCCCAAATTAATTATAATTGTAAAATAATGTATACCCCCTAACACTGCAGGTGGCTTGGGGTGCCCAATTCTCCCTCCACAATATAAATAAAGTATCCTACCAGCACCCCCTCACTCTAATAATAGTGAGAGAGGAGCAATTAAGCTGATACCTTTTGGGAAAAAATTATACTTACCATCAGACGCCTTCTTTTTTAAATTTTTTCCAAAAAAGACCAAATAAAAATCCATAAATCCCAACACAACTGCTTAAAATAAAAATCCAGATAGCAAAAAAAAAAAAAGCTGAAAAAAACTGCAATAAAATGAATCAATTATAGGCCTTTATAGGCCTGACCGCAAGCCCTGAGTCTCTTTAACTGTTTTGGGCATGGGACCATGCGTGCGGTCGGTCAAATAAATGACTAGCATTGAATTTCTGAACCCCTGAACTGATCTGGGTGATTTTTGGATATGTTGGTCATCCAAATCAGGGCTATCAGGGGATGTAACAGTTGTGGGGATATTATGTGTTTTGGGGTACTTTGGGGGTTTTATAGAAATAAATATTTTTTTATTAATGATATTGCAGAAGGTCTTGATGGTAAGGTATGTCTTTTTGCTGATGATACAAAGATATGTAACAGGGTTGATGTTCCAGGAGGGATAAGCCAAATGACAAATGATTTAGGTAAACTAGAAAAATGGTCAGAATTGTGGCAACTGACATTTAATGTGGATATGTGCAAGATAATGCATCTTGGACGTAAAAACCCAAGGGCAGAGTACAGAATATTTGATAGAGTCCTAACCTCAACATATGAGAAAAGGGATTTAGGGGTGATTATTTCTGATGACTTAAAGGTAGGCAGACAATGTAATAGAGCAGCAGGAAATGCTAGCAGAATGCTTGGTTGTATAGGGAGAGGTATTAGCAGTAGAAAGAGCTTATGCCATTGTACAGAACACGGGTGAGACCTCACTTGGAGTATTGTACACAGTACTGGAGACCGTATCTTCAGAAGGATATTGATACCTTAGAGAGGGTTCAGAGAAGGGCTACTGTTACGATTGCCCCCAGTCTAGCAGGGGGGTTGATCGCTTGGAGGTCCTGGTTCCCGCTTTAGAGAGTCGAACGGAGGTCTTTCGGTAGTAAGCTGCAAGTGTAGAATATCCCCAAACACAGTATAAGCATCAATATCCCGGATCCCTACAACATGAGTCGAGGCTGCAAGTTGAGGGTCAAAACGAACTGGCTTTACTGGCACACAACATGGCAATTTATGCGATTCCTCAGGTCCAAAGACAGCCCATGCTTAGAGCTGCACCTAATTTTTCTAAAGGATATTTTTTCTCAATGAACTTATTCTTTAATAAGGTAGATTGGATTATAAAATCATTGGTGGAATACAGGTACAGTACAGACAGGTAACCAATCACAGTACAGTGTATCATTTGAATTAGTACCC